GGCAGACTGAATGGTCTGGATAGAGCAGAGAGGATTGTGCTCCATTGTCTTTATGCGATTGCCGTCGCTGCCCAAACACCCAAAATTCTCAAATCCATTGCGAAAATAGCTCAGGGTATCAAGCCGTGGATAGTACTATTACGCCTCGCTATAAACAACCTCATTCCAGCAACATGCATTTCTTTACGAGTGTTGCTACAGCATCCTCAACTACGACAACAGTTCATTGGCTTCGGCGGACTACGAATCCTCTTTGCCTTCGTGGTGGCCGAGACAGGTGGGTCGAGATGTGAGGCCCTACGTACCATTGAGGCCTGCTTGGCTAACTCTGATGCAGTGGAGAGCCTCCTCAAACCGCTTATCAATGCCCCCGCGATTGTTGTCTCCTTCATCGCATCCATGTCAACTGAGGAGGAGACGCAGATAGCAGCACTAGATACAATTGCTCAGATGGCGAGAGACGAAAACACCCTAGCAATAATGTCGGACCTTGATGTGATAGAAGGACTCGCTCGAATCCTCTCCGTTGCTTACTCGGAGGCACTGAAGATCAGCGTAGTGCGCGCCATTGCCGCGTGCTCCTACTTCGGCGAGAATGCCGAGTATCTAGGACGCGCGAACTGTGTGCCCATGCTGACGGCCATTTTTCGCACTTCTACGAGTAGAGCAAGAGGGGAGAGTGACATTGGCGCCATTCAGCTGCGGAACGCGGCGGTCCGAGCACTATACGGTATCAGCCGCTTGCCCGCTAATGTGACGCGCATCTGGGAAGCAGACATCTGCGATGAGCTGACGGCGATGGCAGAGTCAACGGACGAGCAGGTGCAGGAAGCTGCAGCTGGCGTCATCACCAACATTCGCTTGCTGGAGCGGCAGGCAGCATGTGTCAAGTACACGTAGTCCACTTCCAAATCCATCTCTTCACCAAATCGCACAAATCACTGTGTGCGAGTGGAGACATCTGCCACTTGATGTCTGCTTCCACCAATGCGAACAAATCAACGGTTCTACTGATTATTGTCCAACTGAATTCATTGTTCTCGATGTAAGATAACTGAAGATGATGGAATCGAGCATAAGCTGAGACGGCAAATTTGCCAGTATTCGGTGGAGTTGCATCATTTTCCGCTTCCCCGCAACAAGCAAATTACGGTTCATTTACAAATCCTTCTTGCCTGGTCGTAAGCTTGCAGACGAACAAACGGATGTAGGTGTTGGCCTTCTCTACTTGTTGGTCTCTGCAGATCTTGCACCATTGGAAAGTCGTTCTTTAAAAGTTTGACTCGATTAGACCACGCTGGTAGTTAATGCGTAATCTTTGTCTGAACGCAACAAACTGAGGCTTATCATTTTGCAGGTTAGCTCATCTTAGGACCAACCCACCCACTTATTCGCCAGAAAAATGGTGCCTGCACGCTTGTCAAGAGGGGAGGTGATGGTAATTGTAAAGAAGAGGGGAGGGAGGTTGTACGCCACGAACTGCAGATGCGGGACCCAAATAGTTTCAAACAGTGGGATTTTTAAATGGATAAAAGAGGTGCCAGAAGAAGACTTCATCCTCCATTCAGTCATTCATTTACTCATTTCCATGCAAGGCGCTTCTTCATCAAATAATCAATAATGGTGAAAAACAAATGCTGCAGCTTGATGCACGCTTAAATTTGCACCCCGAACCAACTGGACTCCCCACTGTCCTTTGCCTGCAATTTGTCCCAACAGCCGCCCTCAATGTTCCATCTGACTCACTTCATGCAAACAACGAATCACCTCCCTTCGTTTGCACACACTGTCACAGCCTGGAGACGATGTTGGGAACCAAAGTGTCGGCAGCTTTGGATGAAGCCCTTCGAGTGGACGCATTCAGTGGCCAGAGCAGAAGGAGATGAGCCATGGTCTAGGATCCATCATAGGAGATTTGCAACAGCCTTTGCCTGTGCCAAGGGCTCTCATTTCAAACTTGACTTGAAATCGAATTTCGTCGACGGCATGAGAGAAGTTTCCGTATTACACATCCTATTTTTCCATTTAAAATATGCGATATCTTTATCCGGCATGCCCTCCAGCCACAAATGCTTCTGCAAAGCGCTGTTTTTGGGGGAAATATCGTTTGAATTTTATCCCAATCCCTTAACCAAAAACACAATCTATTATGTTTGCGATAATTTGAAATGCCAAGATCGGAAGTATAGCACTCAGTGCCTTTTGACCGATAGTGGCTCTCACAATTCCAGACTGAGACTAAAATCGCTAAGTAACTACAAGAGGCACTGAGAGTAGTACCTGACAGAAGGGAGGTCACCGGTGTCTCAGTGTCTTCCCTTGTGTCCATCTAAATGCACGAAACCTTCCCCCCTCGAGGTGCACAGTCCCGTACCAATGACACCGGATGATTATCGTGCTGCCATAGTGGAAAGACTGGTCTTCTCTGCCCTCTCCTACGACCACCACTACTACTAATATATACTACTGCTACCAATACTACTAGTATATAATACTAACACCACTACTACTACCACATACTACTAACACGTCTACTGTCCAAAACCTTTCACTAGACAGCAAGAAGAAATCACTCTTCCTACCCACATTCCTTCTTCTACTTTCCCTTGAGTGCGTATGTGAAATCCAGACAATCAGTTAGAGTATTGATCGGCCAGTTAGTTAACCAGCCAGACGTACCTTCCTGCCAAGGACGTGTCAATGGTCTTTATGTCATTCCATGCATTAATAGGATCTCGCCCTTCGCCGTGCTTCGGCTTCTTATTGCCTTCAAGAAGGGCTTTGGTATTACTACATTTTGCCCGATAAAATAAATGACCTGAGGAGCATTGTGCGTGTGGTGACCAAAATCATTGATAACTTACCAAAACATTTTAACAAATGCATTCGGCAGAAGGTCGGTCCTCGTACATTGACTGATGCTTTGCATAAACCTTTTTAAAGATTGGTGCTGTTTCATGCCTTATGAATGAAGTAGGTACAAAACAAGCATCGGAACTACTTGTGTGGTACTGTAAGGATGCGAGAGTGAATTGACAATGCGCCCATTTAGCGGATCGTCTTCGACTCCTCGGACTGTAGAACCGATCTGCACAGCAATCTGTAGCTGCGCTTATGATTGTCCAACCTACACCCACCTCAAAGGGTACTTTTGATCCCAAAGTCTCCTCCGCAGCTACAACAAGTGAAAGAACAGCAGTTACGTATGACGACTACTGGCATGACCTGTAGCTCATGTCACAACAGGGTTGCTCGATGTGTGTCCACCTGGCACGGATGCAAGGCTCAAAGTAGAACAACTAGTGCCAAAACAACCCTCTAACGCTGTTCCCTGTGCTCTCAACTGCAACTTCAGCTGCGGTCACAACAAAGTGCTCCGCACCCCTAAAACTAACCACCAAATTCCCTGCTAAAGCGCATTCAAAAAGGCGTTCGACCATGGAGAATATGAAAAGTTAACATGCGAATTCTCCCACGGAACTAGTGACCCCGCCCAATCCCCTTGTCACTATACTCCCTATTTGACGTTGCTCGCCCTCCAATCTACATAGCTCTCATCCAGGTGGCGCACAATTGAAGAATTCACTGCCTATTCCCAAGGATCGATTCTTCTCATCAATGTGTCTCGTCCAACGCTTTAAATGGGATGCCATGCCTGCTGTTGGTGGAAGGCATGCAGAATACAATGGTGGAGCGATCGCCCAGCTCGAATGCCATTTGCTACACTTTTGTCGGGCCTCCTCATCCATTCGTCCCGACTGTCAATGCTTGCGCTTAGGTGCTGAAAAGACGTAAACACCATCTTCAAAAATGGAAGACTAACAAGGTGAAGGAGCCACCAACTTGTCTGCCACTTACATAGAGATGACAGTATGGAGAAGAATGGGGAATTTTCGATGTGAGGTAGATGATTTTTACATTTGGGCAGTACCACCTTTGTCATCTCGTTGAGCATGAAATGAATTACAATTTGATGCACATTAGGGAGTATGTTCAAAGTAATGTGGGAAAAGAATAAGCTAGGAAGAACGCTAAGCCTGTAAACGAACAACGCTTCACGTATTGAAAACAATTTGTCACTAACAACTAAGCTATCGGTGCCACTCACCAAGCGGCTAAGAATAGTTGCCTCGAAAGCCCATGAATTAGGACAGCCGAAACGGGTGAAGCTGATTTCCACTGAAGGAACAGTGAACCATTTCGACATTTCAACAGCAGGCATTATCAAGTCGCCATGACACCCATGGAAGTGTTGTAAGCGAAGCACTCAAAGTTGTAGGCAACAGTATTGTTGAGCTCAGTGTCATGCAATTTACAGAATGCAAAAGGCACCTGGCTGCAGCAGCAATACACACAGAAAGAATGGTTTGCTCAAGTGTGTCATTTCCACAGCCACAGTGGTTAATCCCCACATCAGCTGCGCCTCTCAGTCTGCCATCT